AAGCTGTGGGAGGAGCTGTCGACCCCCCCCCCCCGACAGGCTGTGGGGGGAGCTTGGCAGGAGAGAGGGGAGTTGAGACACTCCCCTGACTGGCTGTGGTGGGAGCTTGGCAGGAGTGGGGGGAGCGGAGACATTCCCCTGACAGGCTGTGGGGGGAGCTGTGACCCCTCCCCCGACAGGCTGTGGGGGGAGCTTGGCAGGAGTGGGGGGAGCGGAGACACTCCCCTGACAAGCTGTGGGGGGAGCTTGGCAGGAGAGGGGGGAATTGAGACACTCCCCTGACTGGCTGTGGAGAAACAGAGTCACCCCCCTCATAGGCAGCAGGGCTGGAGAGGGGTGAGCCCAGGACCTGAGTGCAATTGCCCCTGCGCTGGGAGAAGTCCTAGCCTCTCTCAGCCTGGGCTTCACTATGGGTCTGGATGAGACCTGGATCTCGCTTCTGCTGATGGTTGGCACCATGATGTTGGTAGGAGGGTGCCGGAAGCTAACCCGACGCCAAGTGCACTCCCGACGCCTTCACCCTCGCACGTTTCTCCTGGAGCTGTTTGCCACTTTCCAAATCTGTGCCTGCACCAATGAGCTCCGGCTGCTGGCCAATGTGCAGCCCAAGCCACACGTTGCCCTCACCCTCACCTATGTTTTTACTGTCCTGCATGGATTGACTCTGACTGGCAGCACATGCAACCCCTGTGGCACCCTGCAACAAATCTTGGATGGTGGGATCTCAGTCAAACAGGGCGGGCTGAAGATTGGAGCCCAGTTTGCTGGTGCAGTGCTGGCCAGAATTTACATGCACCGTATCTGGTCCATGGGGATCATCAAGGTGCACTCTGAGGCACTGGCCGAGGGCTGCTGTAATCCTATCCAAACCACCGAGACCCAGGCTTTTTGCATAGAGCTGCTCTTCTCCACTGTGTTCCAGCTGACCATACTTCAATTTGAGGCAGTTAAACCCAGGCTCAGAGTCCACCTAATTGCTCTTCTCATTACTATGCTGGTGTATGGAGGTTAGTTACCTTTTTTTTTTGGTCCATGATTGTTTCAAGTTATACATATTTTTGAATTATGTGATGTGTTAAAAAATGTGTGCATGCAAAATTGTTTCTGTAGTGCTGTTGTTGTGCTTTACAACGGACAAAATACACTGAACAAGACCTTGATCCAGTAAACTGAACGGGTTAGGGATGCTTCATTTGGACTCTATATAGATGTAAAGGTCTACCTGCATAGATCCCATTCCAGGATTGGGGCATGAGAGTGAAGTGAAGTGAAATCTCTGTTCTAAAGAATTTGAGTCCAAAACACAAATGGGTAAAACTAAGTAAAAAGAGTTTCTCCAGATGGTTCTTTTAAATATTTTACTGAAACGCACAGAAAAATCCTTTCATAATACAACTTTATATTACATGACATCTTTCATGCAACTTGTGTCAATTAATTTGCATCAGTTTAACTACATCAGAGGTTCTCAACCTTTTTCTTTTTGAGGCCCTCCCAACATGCTATAAAAACTTCATGGCCCACCTGTGCCACAGCCACTCTTTTTCTGCATATCCAGTAGATTAAAAGCCAGAGCCTGCGTTGGGGGGGCAAGCAGGGCAATTGCCTCCCAGGTCCCCATGCCACAGGGGGCCCTGCAAAGCTAAGTTGCTCAGGCTTCGGCTTCAGTGCTGGGTGGTGGGGCTTGGGGCCTTGGGCGTCTGTCCCACATGGCGGGGCTTGAACTTTCCGCCCTGGGCTCCAGCAAATCTAATGCCGACCCTGCTTGGCAGACCTCCTGAAACCTGCTCGCGGCCCCCCCATGGGGGCTTGGACCCCTGGTTGAGAACTGCTGAGCTACATCAATGTGCAAACCCTTAACATAGTTATGCTACACACAAGTAAAGCATGGTTTACACCAGTATGATTTAATTAGGTATATTACACTGAGACCTCAGGTAAACCATGACTAGATCCCTGCAAATCAGCAGATATCCGTGGACTATGTTTGCGGATTGCTGATCGGCTGTGGATACAAATTTTGTATCCATGCAGGACTCTAACCATGACCAGGAACAAATGTCTCTCAAATATATATGGTAGTATTAATTGGCAATCAATTAATTCAAGTTACAGCACAACCAGCAATTCTAGTCTAAACAAGACCAAGAAGACTGGAGCAAGTCCATGAATATTTGAAGAAACAAATTTAGCAATTTTGAACTACATTGTGAAGTGAATTTTTGAGGACAAAGGCAACGTGGTGATGCTTCTTAACAGATTTTAAGTGTCTCACCTGAATCTTTCAGCAAAAGTCTTAGAAGAGGGGTGTATTATGCTAATAAAATAGAAAACAAGATTCCTGATTACTAACATTCCTCTGCTGTCTAGCAAATACATGTGTAAGCCAAAGTATGTGTCATGTCATGTGGCTGGTCCTCATAGAGGATAGTAGCTTGTTACTGCTACTACTTAACTCAAATGGTACTTTTGCACTGTGGATCTAATGCTCTTGGGTTCCAGCCCTACTGATGATCTGTGCAGGTCAGTATGGCTCAACCTGATCGAATATTTGTATTTTTAATTTTTTTTAAAAAAACACTGTGATATTACATATTTAAAAAAAACTACATTAAAAGAACATTAAGGTCACAAAATCAACCACTCAAAAGTTAGGAAATTCTAGAACTAAGGTTGCCTGAGCAGTTGTAATTCATCCTTCTTTATGTAACATTATGATACAGTCGTTAATTACATGATTACCTGCTATTTGTTTTACTGGATCCCTGCCTCATTTAGTGCACAGGATGGACACTGAATGAGGCAGTGGGTTGCAAGAAGAGAAAGAATGGTCTCCTGCTGTTAAGGCAATTGGACTGGGATTCTGGAGAGCTGAGTTCTCTTTCTGCCAGTCTTCCTATGTGATATTGGGCAAGACTGTTATAATGCATGCGTGAAAAGAGGCTGAATTATGGTTGCCCAGGCAAATGTAATTATGGTATTTCTTAGCTTGAATGCTTGACTTTGCAACCTTAATGTTCTTTTCAGATATTACTGAAAATCATGTGTAGGTGAATGAGATAATCATGAGGGATGAGTCCAAAAGCTTGTTTAGGCTTTGGTATCCTAATTCACAATGCTGCAGATTAATATTTATAAATTATTAAACTGGGCCATTTTCATTGTTATGTATTTCAAGCATTCAGTTTTTTTCTCCAACAAATACCAAATAGATTAGACCAGTGGTTCTCAACCAGGAGTCCGGGGCCCACTGGGTGGGCCACAAGCAGATTTCAAGGAGTCTGCCAAGAGGAGCCGGCATTAGACTTGCTGGGGCCCAGGGCAGAAAGATGAATCCCAGCTGTATGGGGCTGAAGCCTGGGGCCGTAAGCCCCACCACCCAAGGCTGACGCTGAAGTCTAAGCAACTAAGCATTGTGGGGCCCCCTGTGGCGGGGGGCCCCAGGCAGTTGCCCGGATTTCTACCCCCTAATGCTGGCCCTGGCTTTTATATGCAGAAAAATAGTTATTGTGGCACAGGCGGGCTGTGAAGTTTTTGAGGCATGTTGGGGGAGCCTCAGAAAGAAAAAGGTTGAGAACCCCTGGATTAGATCATAATGTGGAGTAATAATTTGCGATTTTTTAAAAATTTTACATTGTTTCACTTGTGTTACGAAAAGTGTACTAAATCTGTGAATTTGAACTAAATTAGATGGTTCGTTTTTAAAAGCCAAATCATGGGTGTGCTTTTCAAACTGACGTGCTTCAGTAATGAATGACCCAGAAGTATCCGAGTACATTCCTTATATGTCAGGCTTCAGCCTAAAGTGAATGTTTTATGATCTAGTACATTCAAGAGCTTTGTGCTGCAAGTGTAGGTGAGACTATACGCTAAAAAGTGATTGTTTAAAAAAAAAAAGCTGTTTGTTTATTATTTGCTCCATAACAAATTTTGTTTTGTGTACAATTTTTTTAAAGGATTTTTTCCTTTTTTCCTGTTCTGGACAGAGACTTGTATGCTGTAAAGTACCTAGCAGCATACTTGGGGACAATTCATAAACCCTGTTTATCTCTGGTAGTTATAAGGCAATTTTCACCTGGGCACTTAATCATAAACTGCTATCACCAAATTTTTTTCACTAGGATCCTAAAGTCTAGCTGGGTTATTTCCTTCTTATATATAATTACCAGTAAACCTGACCCAAAAGAGTGGTGTTACAGGTATACACCTCAATTTATTTTAACTACCACTAATATACATATCAGATGGGTCAAATTAACTGCTGATGATGTGCAAGAAAGTTAGAAAAATCATTGTTATTTGTAAACTGAATGACTTTGATAGGGAGAGATTGAGAGACAATAAATTTGGAAGCCCTCAATGTCATATTCTTTCACTTTTTGAAAGTACAAACAGCTTTTATAAAACCCAACCTTTTCTCCCTTGTTACTCTTCATATAGTATTTATGGACGTACCAAAAAACTCATGAGTAATTGTCCCATGTAATTTAGGTCTTTAAATATTTTCTGTTTGGAAGAAGGCACTTATATTTAAAAAGCATAATGTAAAAATGGAAATACAGCTTCTGTACCTTTCACACCCCATAATTTTCACAATAACCCCCAGTCTTCCTGACCATCAAAATTCAAGGGCAAAGAGCTTATTAAGTGATGTGCAATATTACCATTATTTTAAAAAACATACTACAAAATATTTACTGTTGTACTATGAAGTGTTATATAGTATTAAAACTACACTTGTCAAACTAATAAAGAATATTTTGATGCATTATCCTTATGTTTACATGAGACCAGTAGCTCAAAATGTGAACTGGCTGTGATACCTACAGACATGTATCATCCTTGAATGCAGGGAGCCCAGAGAGATACAAATATGGGGGCAAAGTTCAAGGTTGTTTGAGGTACCTTAACTTTGCATTTCTGTATTTTCTGGTTTTCCTTTCTGTTTTTGTTTTTAAAGTATAACTTGAATTTTTATGGCTTGTAGATTTTTTTTTTAAATAGTGTTTTATTAAGGTTCAAATTACATTTTTGGTTTAGAAATAAATATCTCAATATTTAAAACTGCCCAAAAGTGTGTGAGGTACCTCAGAGAACAAATAGAAATACAGTGATACTGCCTTGAAGACTTTTCAATCTAAAATTTATACTGTATGTAAAATAACCTTTTAAAATGTTTTGTTAATCATTATCTGTATAACAAAAGATTATAGAAGTTTTCTGTTTACTAAGCAAAACTAGCTATGGAGGACTACTGCTTAAACTTCTAATACTCCATTATCTACTATACTATTATCTGGGTTGAAGAGGAGCTGATCCCTCATTCACGAAATTTGGCTACGTGGTCCTCTTCGGAAATAGAAGGAGAACAGGAGCCAGAAAATCTCCTCCTACTCTGTTTTATGAACATTAAGTTGTTCTAGCAACTACAATATTATTAAGAGGAGGGGATGAAAGAAAGCACAAGGGGAAAGAAGCAACAAAGGATGGAGGAGAACAGAGGGGAGAGGCGGGAGGGTTAAAAATTCGTGGATTGAGGATGTGGGAGGGAAAGAGCAAAGAAAAAACTGAAGCAAACTTTTAGGGTGAGAATCATTCTTTGTTTCATTACTGTTTCAGGTGACTCCCTTCATTAATTAGATCAATAGCCAAAAGAAGGTCAAAATATAATTTACCCCCTAAACAGTAGTTAAAATAGATCAAGGTAAATTAGGGAGCTCACCAGTTTTGGTGGATACCATTACATTGTGGAGTAATGTAGTGCTGCATCATGATGTGGTGATGAGTCACTGTAAGGAAAAGAGAATACTGTAAGGATGACAGGAAAAATGTCCAAAAGCAGACCTTTGGTCAGCAAAACAAAAGTGTAAAAGTATGTGTGCACCTCTACCCAGCTACACATCTCTGCTTTTCCACACTTCCATTCCGACCATGATGGACAATCTGTTTTAATGTAAAACAAATAAGAGGTGGGAGCTGGGGTACTTTCCCAGAAAATTTTGTAATATATGATGCAGTCATACAATTTAGAAAATCAAGACATTTAAAGAGAAATTTTATGTTAAATCTATGTTTTTATTTTTCCTGCCTATTCCCATTAGGGGCTGCAAGGCACTTTCTCCTACTGCTGCTACCACTTCATGTTCCTTTGGCTTGTAAGTCTCCACTTCAAAGGAAGGGAGGGCCTTTGTGGGAACACTGGTCCCCCAAGAATAATTTCTCTTAGCTTTTAATGGAGGAATGGGAGCTGTGTTCCTGCACAATAGCTCCTACCCCTAAAATTGTTGAGTCCTTCCTTTGAAAAAGTTTGTAGGATAGATCATAAGAACATAACATAAGAATGGTCACACAGGGTCAGACCAAAGGTCTATCTAGCTCAGTATCCTGTCTTCCAACAGTGGCCAATGCCAGGTGCTGCAGAGGGAATGAACAGAACAGGGAATCATCAAGTGATCCATCCCCTGTCGCCCATTCTCAGCTTCTGGCAAACAGAGGCTAGGGACACCATCCCTGTCCATCCTGGCTAATAGCCATTGATGGAACTATCCTCCATGAACTTACCTAGTTCTTTTTTGAACTCTAGTATACTCTTGGCCTTCACAACATCCTCTGGCAAAGAGTTCTACAGGTTGACTATGTGTTGTGTGAAAAAAATACTTTCTTTTGTTTGTTTTAAACCTGCTGCCCCTTACAGGCAAAAATGAAATTAAAACCCTGCAAGTAAAAAAATTTCTGTACTTTTTGCATGATAAGCTAACTACCTGTTTAATGTTTTTAGAAAATCTTTTGTATGTTGGAAAGTTTCATAACTCTTTTTCTGTGTGTCTCTTTTTACATATATCTTCCAGCTCCTCCTCTTTTCTTCCTTTTCTAAATATAAAAGTGCAGGGGGAAAAGTCTCATTTTCATGCCTGACCTGTTCTGCCCAATCTGATTTGTCCATTGTTCCCAATGAGCAGCCTAAACATGTTGTACAAACTACAAAATAGCATCCCTCATTCTAGTCATATATTTACAAGAGTTCCATGTCTGCAGAGACATCTAATATTTAAGGGCCTGCCTTGTATTATTATGATGGCACAGGAAGGTAGGGAAGAGGCGAGTGTATGCAGGCCATATGCTTCCCAACATCAGGATAGGATCTCCTTAACACAAAGTGGCATAGACTACTGGCTAGATGATGGAAACCAGAAGGCAGCTAGCATACATGCTTTTTGACAGAACGGCAGTGTTTTCCCAGTAGCACATTTCCTTCCGTCTTTACCACAAGCTGCAGTTTTCATTCCTAGAATTACACATTTTAAGACAGGATTTCACCCTCAGTATCTAATTCAATATTTCTTATTAAATACTGGTATAATCCTGAAATATTCATTATAAATACTTTGGCTCTGGAACATCAGACATGAAGATATCAGAGTAGTTTGTCTTAGCTGAAGTAGATTCTATGCTTGGTGATATAAAAACTTCACTGTGAAACATTAAACATTTTGATTAAATACTAAACAGAAAAAATATTGATTTTCCTCATGATCAGCAGTGATGTTGGTCTGTTGTCAGCAGATATTGGAAGATAAGGAAATAATACACTGCCATCACTTTAAATATGCAATGTACGTGCAGCATTCAACCATGCATTGTGGGAGCTACAAAATCGAACCACCCCAGCTCACTGAATAGCTTAGCTAGAAAAGACAGCCATGTTTTAAAGTTATAGAAATTAATATGAACTTCATTTTATATTGCCAAACTATATTATAGGCAATGCTCAAATAAGCCTTCATAGGAAAACGATAGCTCAGAGGATTGTCAATGGGTAAGGCTGCATTTTTGTCATGGAAGTCTAAGACTCCTTGATTTCCATATTGTTTTAAAAAATGGTAATTTTTGACACTTGGGAATTTTGGCATGCAATAACAAACAGTCAAACCAGTTTCACTGAGAGCTCAGGTATGTGGGCAGTGGAGGGTGGGGTGTCTAACATATCTCTGCTACGTTTTTGTTTTTTCCCTGAAAAATTTTCCATTGGTGCAACTTCGCCATTGGTATCAATGGTGGGACCACTAGAATAGACAAAGCTTCAAGCACCCACCACCATTTTAAAGTATGTTTACACAATACAAGGAAAAATGCCAATGGGCTGTCGTTATTTTGTCTTCGCTAGCACTCCCACCATCGTAATAATTTATGAGATGCACTGGTATTTGCAACAGTTGGAATTTTTAAAATCAGAAACAGGCTAGTTTAGATGAGGCCTTAGGTAATGGGATCTCTAGCAACTATTTTATTTTGTTTGATTTATAATGACATGAAAAATGCACACATTTGCTATTTTGTTTTGAGCTTGTGGTGTGCCATTTTGAGGAAGACGGGTGAGTATATCATATTCTATGATCTCTATGGTTTTGGTTTTTTTTAAGATGTCACAGATTTTACTTTGCTGGTTTTTGAAGTGTCTGCAGTGGCTGAAGCAGAAAAGTGGTGAAGAAATGGCAGCAGCAGATCTATTCTGTCTGCCTTACTGCTCTGGTGCTACTACAGAACTGAACTGGAAGTACTGGGATAGCAGATATAAATAGTTTTACACAATTTTATTATAAAAAAAAAGTATTTTAAAATTAAAATAGTGCGTCTGTGACTTTTGGCCCTCTCCTTTACTATCAATTTGTAACTTTTACCCTTTATCCTCCATGACCAGGTCATGACTTTCCGCATAATTACCATGATAACCTATTAACCCCAATAAGGGGATGTAGCGCCTATGGACTCTGCATGGCTAGTTTAGTTTAGCTCAGTTCAGAGGTGACAGGAAATTGTTACCATCTGATAGTTCATGTGAAATCAGTTGGGTGGTCTCAGTCTCAGATGGTTCAGAGAAATGAGTGGACAGAGTGGTAAACAACACCAGCATTCTGCTCCGGCTGAGCCTGTAGTTGAATGCTCCTTGGAGCTGTCAAGGTGGCCAGTGTATGGCTTCATGAGCCATGGGAGCAAGGGCTAGGCTGGGTCACCCAGGATCACTATAGGCATTTCAAAATTCCCAATGGTAATCAGCCGGGCGGGAAAGAAAGTTCATGCTTGCAGCTTCCTGAACAGTCCTGTGTTCTTAAAGATGCAAGCGTCATGCGCCTTCCCAGACCAGCCCACGCTAATGTCAGTGAAGAGTTCCCAGTGATCTACCAGAGCTTGCATAACCATAGAAAAGTAGCCCTTTCTGTTGATGTACTGTGGGGTAGGTGGTCTGGTGCCAGAATAGGGATATCCATGCCATCTGTCACCCCACCACTGTTGTTGTCTCTGGTGGGAGGATTAGCTGTTTGTTTGCTTGCTTGTAGAGGTATTGTAACTCTTCAACTTTATGGTTATATTGTTTTTGTTTTAGTGGCAGGAAACTCTCAAGCCATCTTTAAGTTAAATCTCTTAACTCTTTTTCTTTATTCAGTCCATTTTCTGAAACATCCCTTCACTTCTAGCAGGATTTAACAGGAGCTGAAATTCAGTTTTAGATGAGTGACAACACTCTTATTTTCTTATCCGAGTCTTTCAGCTCTGGTGGTGGGAGAGACAGGCTCACTGTAGGATCCCGGTTAGTGTGGCCCCACTAGTAGAGGAGGAATACTCTTTTTCTGCCTCCCCTTCTGATTACAGTAGGGATGTATCCCCTGTCACTAGAGGCATAGATCTATGGGCTCTAAGGAAGAACACGTGCCTTTATATCCACCCCTGTGGCTCCCTGTATCTTACCCCTATACTGTCCTATGTTGGCCCTTGAGGTATACAGCTGGTGAGAAAACCTACCTCTACAGCCTTCTCTAGAATAAATTTTCCTCTCCTATGAAACTTCATAGAGCTTCCCAAGAGGGACAGCTGGCATGGCATGATCAGAAGAACAAGAAAGTGAGGAGGAAGAACACCTGCAATCGGAGAAGTACCCTCCTTTTCTTCACCAGACAAGGCAATAGTGCCCCTTCTGTTCAAACTGATGATTTCAATATGTTTCAGCAACTTCTGTGTCACATGGCAGATATGTCAGAAATCCCTGTGGAGGTAGTGCAGAAGAAAGTTTATATAGAGCTGGGTGGAAATGTAGTAAGAAAATTTTAATGAAAAATGCCTTTTTTTTTTTTTTTAAATCAAGGCATTTTAAAAAAAGTATTGATTTCAATGAACGCCCCCAGGAAATAGATGTATTTCAAAATGAGAAATGTTCATTTTGGAATTTTGAAATTTCATTTAGGAATTTATTTTCATTTTTATATATTTTTTTACATTATTTCATAACATGTCAATAGTAGCAAAACATAATATTCCTTTTTGAGCTCATCAGCGCTGCATTATCTTGGAGCTTCTCTTATTTAAATTTCACATTGCGATACCAGTCGGTTAATCAGAATGGGATATCAGAAGGAGGTAACGATCAGCTGGGACAAAAAGTAGGAATCACTGCAGTCAGTGTAACATTCATACAAAGTAAGGGTTCATTGTTCATGCTGATTTATTCATCCAAGGAAAATTAGAAGCAAGCTTTAAAAGACTTAACCCTGGGTAAAATCTGCAAAAACAACCCTCTCACACATGATCAAACACAGGCAGTTTAGCAGCATGAAAATTCTGGTCTGCACATATCACTCTTCAGCAAAATGGCCACCACCAGAATACACATCAAAAGTTAAAACCAAAAAAGCCAAATTATCCCCAATATAACTCCACTGATGCAAGTGGTATTACACTAATGATGAATTTAGCCTCCATAATGTACTTCATTTGTCTTTATGGGCCTAATCCTGAGAAATGCTGAGCATCTTCATTTCCATTTGAAGTCAATAGGAGGTGAAGGTGCCTGGCATCTCTCAAGATCATCCCTATGTTTAGCCTAAGAGTTTAAAAAAAAAGTGAAAAAAGTAATGCATAAGGCAAATTTGATGATGTTTCCCTCCACCTGCCCATTATTGCCTAGCAATTACTTACTATAAGATAATGTACCAGGAAAGATACTGGAGCAGATTATTAAACAATCAATTCGTAAGCACCTGGAGGATAATGAGGCTATAAGGAATAGTCAGCATGGGTTTGTCAAGAACAAACATGCCAAAGCAACTTAATTTCCTTCTTTGATAGGATTACTGACCTAGTGCATAGGGGGGAAGCAGTAGACGTGATATACCTTGATTTTAGTAAGACTTTTGAAACCTGACATTCTCATAAGCAAACTAGGTAAATGTGGTCTAGATGAATTTACTATAAGGTGGGTGCACAACTGATTGAAAGATCATACTCAAAGAGTAGTTATCAATGGCTTGTTGTCAAATTGGGAGGGCATATCTAGTGTGGTCCTGCAGTGGTCAGTCCTGGGTCCAGTACTATTCAACATTTTCATTAATGACTTTGATAATGGAGTAGAGAGTATGCTTATAAAATTTGCAGATGATGCCTCGCTGGGCAGGGTTGCAAGCACTTTGGAAGACAGGCTTAAAATTAAAAATGACTTTGACAAATTGGAGAATTGGTCTGAATTCAGCCAGATGAAAGTCAGTGAAGACAAGTGCAAAGTACTTCACTTGGGAAGGAAAAATTGAAGGCATAACAACAAAATGGGGAATAACTGTCTAAGTAGTAAAACTGCTGAAAAGGATCTGAGGGTTAGAGCAGATCACAAACAGTGTATGAGTCATCAATGTGATGCAGCTGTGAAAAAGATTTATGATTCTGAGGTGTATTAACAGGAGTGTTGTATGTAAGACACAGGAGGTAATTGTTGTGCTTTACTTGACACTGGTGAGGCCCCAGCTGGAGTACTGTGTCCAATTCTGGGCACCACAATTTAGGAAGGCTGTGGACAAACTGGAAAGAGACCAGAGGTGAGCAACAAAAATGATAAAAGGTTTAGAAAACCTGACCCACGAGGAAAGGTTAAAAAAACTGGGCATGTTTAGTCTTGAGAAAAGACGACTGAGGGATGACGTGATAACTCTTCCAATATATTAAGGGCTGTTATAAACGGGATGGTGATCAATTGTTCTCCATGTCCACTGAAAGTAGGACAAGAAGTAATGGGCTTAATTTGCAGCAAGGGAGATTTAGGTTAGATATTAGGAAAAGCTTTCTAACTATAATAGTTAATCTCTGGAATAGGCTTCCAAGGGACGTTGTGGAGCCCCCATCACTGTAAGCTTTTAAAAACAAATGGGGCAAACACCTGTCAGGGATGGTCTAGGTTTACTTGAGCCTCCCACAGTGCAGGGGGCTGGACTTGATGACTTCTCAAGGTCCCTTCCAGCCCTATGATTCTGTGATTCTATGAATGTTAAAAATTCCATTAAAAAGTTGTTAGCTTAACATTAAAATTGTGATCCCTGTTTTCGTGTTCTATTATCATTTGGTGTGGGGTGTGTCATGTGCAGTCTGGGCATTGTGTTTCAGATTTCATGGAAGCTTAAAGTGATGGCTTATTACACTGAATTCCCAAGGTACAGAGGTCAGAATCTCTCAATCTATAGTCTGTAACCTTTGGAATTTGCTCCCTTTGGGCATTTGGCCAAGGTTTTTAGGGTAGTCTACAGGGAAAGATGCAAAGTACATTTATATGCTTCAGCTTCTGGTTTATTGTTTGGGGGTTGGGCAGTAACAGCAGTAGTAGTTTTTTGTGTTTTTTTTTTAATTTACCTCACTGTAGGTTATGTATGCAGTTATGTTTATTAACTTTTGAAAAGTAACACCTACTTGCTAAGGCAAAAGGTTTCATAATAAATCATTAAGTAAATGGAACAAAAAATAGAATAAAATTAGTTTTTTAATAAATTTTCTCCATTGAACAGCAATTAGAAATGGAAGTTACTTGTAACTGAAGTTCTTCAGTATGCACTGTGCATATTCACACTCCTGGGATGTGCTGACACGGTGCAGCTACAGTGATGGAACCTTCCAGTAGCAGTGCCTGTTAGAAGCACTTTGGTCCTCTCCTTTCTCCTCCTGACCGAGAGTGCGCACTGGAGAATAAACGCTAAAGCAGAATACCAAGTAATGATACAATTAGGACTCCACAGAAGCAGGGAAGGCAGACAGGGAGTGGGAATATGCAGAATGTATATCAAAGAACTCCAGTTACAAATAACCAACCTACTTTTCTTCTTAGAGTGCCCTTTGCATATTTCCACCCTTGGGAAAGTTTGGAAAGCAGTACAGTAACTTCTCGCTTAACGTTATGTTCCTGAAAAACGCTACTTTAAGTGAAATGATGTTAAATGAATCCAATTTCCCCATAAGAATTAATGTAAATGAGAGGGTTAGGTTCCAGGGAACACACTAAGTTTTAAACGAACAATTTAATACTGTACACAGCAATGATGATTGTGAAGCTTGGTTGAAGTGGTGAAGGAAGAGGGTGGAAGAGGGTGGCATATTTCCCAGGGAATGCCTTACTGCTAAATGATGATCTAGCACTCGGCTGAGCACTCAGGGGTTAACACATTGTTGTTAATGTAGCCTCACTCTACAAAGCAGAAGGACTGGAGGGAGGAGACACAGCATGGCAGAGAGAGACACACACACTGTGTGTGTGTGTGTGTGTGTGTGTGAGGGAGAGACAGAGACACACACCGTGTGTGCGCGAGAGAGAGAGAGAGATGTGCATTGCCCCTTTAAGTACGTTGACCCCACTCTAAGTACACTGCCTTTTTAAGTAGATCAGCAAGTTGAGACAGCAGCTGCTGCCAGCAAGCTCCCTCTGTTCTGAGCCCTGTCATGTCGCCCCCCTGCTCTGTGGAGATGGGGTAAAGGAGCCTGAGATTAACACCTCTCTTCTCCCCACTGTCTCTACACAGCAAGGAGGAGGCTTCTGGGAGCAGCTCCAAGGCAGAGGGCAGGAGCAGCACACGGCAGTGGGGGGAGGGACAGCTGAACTGCCCGGCAATTGATAGCCTGCTGGGTGGCTGCCGCACAGGGAACTTAGGGGCACTGCCAATCCACCCTCGTTCCAAGTCCCCACCAGTTGGTCCAACGGGCTGCTCTTTCTGCAAGCAGTGGATAAAGCAGGCGGCTGCCAAACAACGTTATAAGGGAGCATTGCGCAACTTTAAACTAGCATGTTCTCTAATTGATCAGCAACATAACAACATTAACTGGAAAAAGAACAGGAGTACTTGTGGCACCTTAGAGACTAACAAATGTATTTATAACATTTATTTATTTATTATTTATAAATTTATAACGTTAACCGGGACGACGTTAAGTGAGGAGTTACTGTACAGTAAAGGAGGGACAAGTCCTAATTGAACAATGATTGAAATACTGACCTGCCAAAATGAGCATTGGACCTGGATTCTAAATCTAGTGCATAAGTGACTTGTAAAAGCATGGATTGTTCTCCACATAGCGGTCTTGCAAATTTCAACAATGGAAATGTGCTTGAAAAATGTTGTAGACATAGCCATTCCTCTAGTACTATGAGCTCTAACAGGACCTGGAGAGGAAAGCAAAGCTTTCCTAAAACATTCCTCAATACAGAGTCTGACCCATCCAGATAATGATTGAGCTGAAATGGCCTACCCTTTGAAGAACCGGTATAAGGAGATAAACAACCTGGGAGAAGCTCTGAAGTCTTTAGTTCTATCCAGGTAATATGAGAGTATTCTTTTTTTCATCTCAAGGAATGTAATCTAGCATCTTCCTTATCTATATTAGGTTTTGGAAAAAATATGGGTAAGCTAATCATTGATTCTTCTTTGAGTAGTGTCCCTATAAATGCTTGTAATGGACTTCCCCGGGGTGCAGCCTGGAACTGGGGTACCGCTGAGTCCTCTGGCATACCAGTCTGGGCCCCCTCTCATACTGTGAGGCTGTGACAAGCTGCAATCCTCTAGGTCTTGCTCTTATACAGCCATACATAAGCAGGGACACACCAAGCTACAGTTACATGAATGCTTCTCCTAGCCACTCATGAACTAACAATAAAGAGGCTCCGACCAGTTTCCCCCAGCTCCCCAGCCTAGGACCCCAGAGCTGTACTGTCTTTCCCTGATCAGAAGCCTGACCAGTGCAAG